ACATTCAATAATGACCACTAGGGGCAAATAGGCAACAGTGAGAAAGATAAGGAAAGAATGAATGTATGAGTGGGATCATTTCTTTATCAATAAAGTAGTTCCCTTCACGGTAAAGAAAGTCATAAATAATTTAAAGAAGCTGAATGACAATGTGTTCAGAAAAACATAATAGAAAAATCTAAATAAAATGAGTAAACAACAATGGAGAGAGTTATGTAAAAATCCCTCTAACGTCATCCGATTAGGTGTATAATGTAAAGATTTTCAAAAAGAAAACAGTTTCAAAGGGAAAGTACACCAATTTTACACATGAAGATCAGTCATGAGGAGTAGCACTCTGAACATTATACAACCAAAATCAGTTCTGGGAGGAGCTTCGTCAAGGCCGAGAAAAATCACCAACAGGATCCTACCCGACCCTGATTAGACTGGAGACCCTGTTCTGAAAGCTTGGGGGACAACGCATTAATTCAGTAACAGAAAGTCTGCAAACTAAGATGTGAAGCTAAAAAGATGTGTCTTTAGAGGGCAGGGAGGATCTATTGAAAAGATTCTATTGGTTGCATTGTGGGAAATGTAGGATCTAGCTATTCTGGAGCTTCACCATAGGGACTAAAAGACGTGATATATGCTCTCTGCTGCATCGATTTCGATACTTTTTCCAGTCTCCCTAACAAGAGACCCCTACCTTCATGAAACTAAGTGTTCCTTTAAAAGGTCACATTGAATAATTCAACTACTGCAATCAGTTATGGAAACACTGAGTCAAAAACTACATCAACATCAGTCTCTATGACAACAATGTGGCGTCTCATGTAAAAAGTTATTCCAGACTTATCTTATAGAACAAAGAAGCCTATAAAGAGAAACTGCTCATGTACTTTGGTGGCTTAATTGGCCATCAAGACATTACAGAGAGCCTATCATTAGCATATGGAGAAAACTGACAGAGAGAGGGGACAGTGTGATTGTCATAATTACAAGTGTGACCTATCCACAGACAAGGAACATGGGGGAAGGGTCAAATTAGAGACGGATAGAAAGACAGAGACACAGAAGGAGAGCGGTCAGAGGAGGGAAATGAGGAATGAACATGAAGTCCTTTCTGAAGACCAGATTTAGCTGCACACACACATACAATCAAAGCCAGTGACACACACACCCACACAGACACACACAACTCCAACCTCTAAATCATGTAGATAGACGACCATGGAAAGAATAAACAGAGACATGAATAGATATCGTAACCACAGTTTTTTTTATCCCTGCTTTTGTTTATGTCAGCTCAGGTTAGTGTGTTACCCAGGATCCTCCAGCCCAAGAGAGCAAATGGAGACACACACACACGCAAACACACTCATCTTCTCTTTAAATCACACACAAACCACTCAGAGAGGGGGAGAATGGTGCTCCTGGCCTTGTGTAGAGAGCCTGGAAAACCTTTTTAACCATTCATGGCTACAGAAATGGCTGAGCATAAAAGAGCTGCACAGCATGGTGGTGGTGGTCGCGGTCGAGGCGGCAGCTAAAAGGCTGATCACACAAGGCTGAAGCGAGTGAGTGAGTGCAGCGCTCAAGTGGTCTGCATTTACGCTCTTCTCATACCACACAGAGAGAGAAAATAGGTAAATGTGTGTGGAGAAATTTGCCAGTGAATCGAAACTCCACCTGAAGGGATACAACCACCAACGAAAACACAACAGCACCAATTATGTCTTTTTTTAGTCTTGTACATACACAGATATAGAGTACCAATATTTTGTCATTCAACCTAAAAAGGGACTCTTTAAGTAGTGTTAGTTTAGATCATGGAGGTTTACCTTCCACTACACTGTATGTGTGTGTCTGTGAGGCATAAATGTGTGTCATATGTCTGTCAATCTCATCGGCAGAGAGAGAGGACCTGACATATACAAAAACGAGGACAAAAGCTCAGACTGTGGTAAGAAAATCTATTCATGTCTCTGCTTACTCTTTTAGTGGTCATCTCTCTACAGGGTGTGTGTGTGTGTAGACTGCAGACACTACCCAAGGCCAAAAGAAACCTCCTATAAAAGCTTCAGCTTGTTTTTCAGGGGTTAAGACAGTGTTCTTCTTAGTAAAGATGTATCATGAAGTATCAGGTCTCCCATAGTAAAACTTCACGAGAATCAGTTGTTTCTGATGTGAACTATGGAGTACCTCCGGGCTCCGTTCTTGGCCCTCTGCTGTTATCTTTATACATTTTAACTCTTGGCCAAATTATACACCATTTTGGAATACTTTTCCGCTGCCATGCTGACCTGTATGTGCCTGTAAACAGTAAAGATTATTCTCAAATATTTCATGTAGAGGCTTGTTAGCTGCAGTGAAATCCCACATCACGTAATTTCCTCCTCTTAAAACTGAGATGCTGGTGTTTGGCCCTGCTCGACATAGACACCAGTTCGACCAAGTAACATTAACGCGGTGCTATTTTCTATTTGTGAAACATAGCTAAAATAAGATATTTTCTGTCCATGGCTGATGCAGAGATCTTAATTCACTCTGTTTTTTCCATTTAGACTTGATTACCTTATTGTTTTGATTACATGCTAGTATGGAAAGTCTAGTCTTAACTAAAACTAACCATATCACACTAATTTTAGCTTCACTTCATTGGCTTTCTATCCATGTCAGAACAGACTTTTCGGTGCTTCTGATGACTTCTATAATTGTAAATGATCTCTTTTCTTTTGTCTGATCTCATTATACTTTATATCTCATCCTGTGCTTTGTGCTCTCAGAATACAGATGTCCTGTCTGTTCCCAGAGTTAAAAAGAAGTCAGCTGGCTGCAGGGCCTTTTCTCATGTGACAGTCTGACTCTGTTGAGGTCTTTAAATCTAAGCTAAAAACCCATATTTCACCATAACTCTGAATTAGTGCTCAGCCTTTGCTACCTCAGGCCTTGTCCTAGTAACTATCTCAGTCTCTCAATGACTCTATTAACTTTAGTATTTATGGTTCATGTTTGTCCTGCCGACAACAAATCAACAAACCGTAAACTTCTGACAACCACTGCATTTCTCGAACTTGTTTTCCTGTGTATCCCGCAAGCTGCTAAGCCGTGTGCATCTCTCTCTCTCTTCTCACTCTATCTCTAGTTTTCTCCTCCTTCTGTCTTTTCACTAAGGGTCCTCTCTGCTGGACCATCGGCCAACCGGGAACACCTCTCGTTCTCTCTCTCCTGGCTGTCGGTGCTTCATCCAGACGTTTGGATCATCCCCCAAGAGATTCAGCCTCTCCTCTTCTCTCCCTACTTTGTATGTGTGCTGTGTTGTCTCTCTCTCCTACCTGTGTGAATGCTGTACTGTGTGGCCTGTCCTACTTCCAGGTCTCCATGGATGAGAGGAGGTTGTGTTACCTGTCTGGCAAAACCCAAAGCTGCTCCTACACTTCACTTATGTTTTACAATCTACATATATTCAGATTTTTTGCTGATCCATTCTGCACACATGACATCTATTAGATCTGTCCGTCCAAGAAGAGGGACCCCCTCCTCTGTTGCTCTTCCAGTGTTTACACTTACACTACAATATTCCTTCACTTTCAGTTGTTCGATTAAAATATTCTGTCACAGTCATTCAGCCATCCTGTTGTGTTTGAATATATTCCATTATCATCTTTTCTCTTTTTGTTTCTGTAACCAATATTATTTCTTAGGTGTACTACAGTTTTAGTGTTTCTTTTCTCACTATGTATGTGTGTGAGTGTGTGTGATTGTGAGTGGGGTGTTTTCATTATCGAGCTCCTCAGGGGAGGAACCCACTGCTGGTTTTTACTGTGGACACCGCTGTCATTTTTTGGGTGAAAAACAACAATCAGATCAGAGGTTGTGCCTCACGCTCGCTGCGCTTTAATTGCATTAGAGTTTCGGTACCGGCTGAGTCACGGCTAACCGAGGCAGAAACACATTCTGCACAGGGATGTGTAATGAGTGACGAAGCCCTTCGGGCCTAAAAAGAAAGCTGCCGTGGTTTGTGTCTGGGAGCGCCTAATGAAGACTGGTTTACAGGGTTTCATTGCTCAATAAACAGAGACAACAATAAGCGAGCAAGCGAGAACAGCGGGAGGCAGGTTGTGTCAGGTGATTGGGTATTGGCGATGTTGTCAGTAAATCCATCCCATATTTCCCAGATGCCTCTGCTGCTGTCTTTGCTCAGTTGTGTCATTTAATGAAAAAGAAGTCTTGCTCGGAAGAAATGCTTCTGCTGCGGCCAGATTCAGTGATTCTGATTCGGATCAAAGTGTGATTTTCTGCATCCTTGGGCTCGCTATTAAAAAAATCCCATTTTAAAATGGCTGATAAATGGCTATTGATTTCCAGGGCGAGTATGCTGACTTCGGGAGTGTACGGAGGTGAATGAAATGATTCCTCAGGCTGGATCAATACAGGTTCATGGACATTTAGCAGTGCAGCTTGGTTAGGAGAGGCAACTACAGTGAGAGATTTCAGGCTATTGTTGTTCTTGCCAAAATAAGAAGGAGAAAGAAGACGGAAAGAAGACAACAATATCAGGGAGGAAAAGGAAAAATGGAAAAGTAATAGGATCCAGCAGAAGCAAAGAGAGAAGGTTGTGGAAGAGAGCTAAAGGAAAGTGTGGATGGAAATGTCACCGGTCTAATAGATCTCTCCATAAACTAAATGAGGAGGAGAGCGGGTGCCGCCTCGGTGGCACACAGCACCTCAAAATGTTAACAAGAGAGCTGAAAATAGCCCTAGAAAGGCACAGGGGAAAACAGGCTGAGCTCACAGGAACACCGGAGTGGCTCTGGAGACACATACACATATATTTCCTTCATTTAACATTTCAATCTTTGTCCAGTGTGGGTTTTGTTGTGGCACATGTAATTTCATAGCATTTTTCATGGATGTTTAGGGCAAGAAACAAACAAGCGCTAACTGCAAACTTATTTTCTGGTACCAAAAACTGGCTGCCATTTCTAGGCTGCGCACCCACAGGCGTGCACACTCACCCGGTTTGGGTCGTGGTCCAGGACTCGGCGTCGTGCGGCGTCAAGCTCCTCGTAGCCTGGAGCGGCTCGGGCCTGCTGGTACTCCCTGCGCAACCCCTGGAGACGATCACTGCAGAGAGACACAGAGGGAGGGAGGTGTAAATAATGCCTGGTGGCTGGTGTTCGGAGAGAAGCTATTATCTAAATCTCTAAGGTTTAGGTAGACAAGGGTTCCCATCATGGCCTTAACGTTAAATCCCATAACTATTCAATGATTTTCCAAAACTAATTCCACGATCTAAAGATGCTGTTCGCTCATTTTAGGGGATAAACAGTCTAATTCTCGCCACAGGAATTAAAAGCAAAGAAAAAGCCAGGTGAAACATGGTGCATTCAGCCTCCTTCTTTGTTAAATCCACCGGTATTCTTCTGCCTCGCAGTGACAACCCTTGACAGGGCAGGAAGACTGACAGGTAGACAGATAATATCCACAAAGTACTGCCTCAGAGAAGACATCAGTGCCTGAATTGAACTTTCTACAGCTGACAGAGAAAACTAAAGTGGAAAAAAAGGAACAAAAAAAAAAAAAACATTTGATGGATGTTCCTTTTCACTTAAAAGTCACATAGACGAATGCAGCGCTCTCCTCAATTGAACTACAGACAGACACATTGACGAGTCAACACCCAAATGATCCTGCTGAACCAGACCTTTGCAGACAGAGAAAAAGAAGAATAACAACAAAAATTAAAAAAGAATGGGGGGAAAAAAAGGCGACTGCCAGTGAAGAGATAAGAACTCAGGACAGAATGGGGACAAAACTTAAAGAGAAACATCATCATGCTCACTGGACCTTACTGCCAGATAAGCTACACACACACCTGAGAGTACAGAGCTGAGCACACATAAACAAGCGTATGGATACACACACACAAAAGGAAAAATTGTGCGTCTGACTGAGCATAATCCTTCAGGATGTGCAACCAAAGTATGACACAGTGCTGTCGTTTATCTGTGTTTACTGCCTGCATTGGAAACAGGTATCTAATATTGACACCGATATGCTGTTCGTTTGCTATTTCGTCTTCTGGAGATACACATAAAAATATTCAAACAGAGGAAAAAAAATAATACAGAAAAAAAAAAAAAGAAAAAAAATTCCACCCTTCCTCCTGCATGCCCCAAACAACTACAACTACACACAAGGAAGGCCTTTGTCCCACACGTAAACACCCACACACAGCCTTCATCAAACAGGCGTTGCGCCTTACATTCTAATGGTCTGACCTCCGGGCAGATATTGACCGAAGTGGAGCGAAGGAGAGAGAGAGCGGGCGAGAGACAGAGAGCAGATAGAGAGGTTCATTAGTGGAGTACATAGCTTACATGTTTAAGTCTCTCTTGCGACCCTGCCTTTAATTAGAAAATCTGGCTGAGACTCTGAGTGTGTGTCTGTGTGTGAAGACAACCTCAGGAATGTATAAAAGTGTGTGTTTCTGTGTGTGCATAGTTAATCCTTGTAATTTGCTATGTGGGACACACTGTGACAGTGCCTGGGTATATACGTACTCTGATTTAATGCAGGCCGCCTTTTATCCAACTCAGTGGGGACGAAGAGCTGAGTCACACACACTTCTCTTCTGCCATTACGTTGATATGCAAAGCGTTGCTATTATTCTGCACAAAACGAGTGTGTGCGTACCCCTCAATGCAGAATCCCTGTCGACGCTGAGGACACAGAGCTCAATCCTGACTTGCTGCCATGAGGAAGGAACTTTCACAAAGTTCTTGTTGCGCTGGTGCAGATGCTTCTGTTTTATAAAGATGGATATCTGAGGTGGCGTTAGGCCCAGTACTGTGCTAATTGTTGCTACTTGAGATTGGTTTAATGGTTGGTTTCAACACAAAGCTAATCAATACTAATCTCTGTTTCCCCCTCAAGTGCTGCGTCCTGCAGACAACCTTGCTGTTAACATATTCACACTTTATCTCTTGTATTATTTATTTATTCGCTTATTACACGCTTTTTTTTTTATTACTCTTACTTACCCTCTGCTGCCCACCAGCCCCACTCCACACACAAACAAACAAACAAACAAACAGACCCTCAGAGAATGGATGCACGGAGCCAAGTTGAGGGTTTTTTTCACGCCACCCCTCTTCTACCGAAGCCATTAGCCAATCCCTGGGCCCGTAATTAGGGCTGCCATTTTGATTGAGCGTGCGTGTCGCTCTCCAAATGAAACAACACTGTAATTATCTCATTATGCCGCGGCCTCCATCACTGACAACGCCAAATATTATCATATTAATGGCTGAAGACTGAGGCTGATTCTGGATAAAACATTGGGGGGTAGGTGAAGGGGGGGTGAGGGGGGTGGGGTGGCTGTTGAGTAGCAGTTTGATGGGTTGACAATTCAGCAGCCTGCTTTCCAAACAGTGACAGAGGAGGGAGAGAGGGATACGCGAGTGTGTGTACGCGCCTGTGTTTGCACATTTGCGTGTCCTGTCCTATATGCGTGTGTGTGGGTGTGTCTGTGTGTGTGGGTGTTTGGAGGGAGACAGGTAGGCTCCCCTGTTGTCATCAGCAGCTAATAACTACTGCGGATTGCCTGTCTGCAGGCCTGAGGACAGTTGCACAAACACAACCGATCTAAGTGATCTACAATACTTTCAGTCGAGCAGTGTGATATAAGACTGTGTCATCGAGGAACTTGATTATGTGTTATGTCGAGAAAAAACTTGTCATTTTGCAGTACACAACAAGAACACAGCACTAGGACAGGATTGATTTTATTGACACAAATGTTTCTATACATGATGTATGGAGGTGTTGTAAATTCATAAGGGCATTATTTAAGTGTCTAACATGTAAATAGACCACAACTAATCAATAAATCAATAAAGTCTTATTTTGCTAGAATAGCTCAAGCACAGGAATTGATACCACTTAAATAAGATGTGTTTTTCCCTTCAAGTATCATATTTCATCCATATTTCAGAATATCTGACTATGCAGGTTGATGTTTGAGCGCGCCGAGAGAAGACGCACTGGAGGAGGATGGGGACGGGAGGAAGAGAGGGAGGAGATGAGACACAGGAGCAGGAAATGAAAGATGCATCAGAAGACAGAATGAGAGCAGGAACCCAAACGGTGGCGCAAAGACGCCGAAGCGAACTTGGAAAAGAGTGAAAGAGAAGAGCAAGGGAACTGGAGTGAGAACAAAACCGTCTGCTGTATGAAAGCGAGCGGGAGAGAGTGTGTGTGAGAAACGCAACTATCCCGTGGTGTTAGCCAGTGTGGGGGCAGACTAATTAGGAAGTGTGCGCCGCCGCCGGCTGGTTTGGCGACTCCTTCTTGCTGTGGCCAGCTGATTTAAACACAACACACTGGGGGGAAAAAGCTCAGGCAGGCAGGTTTTTCTTTTTCCTTTGCCGCCTGCGTGCTGGAGGTAAGCAGACATCAAAGCGCACGGTCAATGTTTGGTTTTCTGATGCAGTACTGGGAATAGAGTCGGACAGAAAGTCAGTGGGGCTCGATGGGAAAACAAAGAGGTTTTCACTGAATTTCAAAACGATTAATAGACAACTAATCGATTAAGCGACTAATAAAGTAATGAAGAATTTACAACAGAGGTTCTCCTGATGCACAGCTGGTTTTTACTGGCTGAGTGGCACTCCCCATGACGAGCAAACTGATTTTCATGTGTAAAATTGGTGTAATGCCTCTTAAACACGGCGGCTCGATAGTACAGTAATTTGGCTCTAATTATTGCCCCACATGTCGGCAGAAATTTAGTCAGTGGATCGTGATTTTGTGGAATTGTGGAAATTTTATTTGCAGACAGATAACTAATGACTTAGATAAGGAAGTCATTAGTTACAAACGTCGCCAAATAATCATTATTTTTTTCTGAACTGTGACAAAAAAAAGGCAATCATTTTAGCTTTTTTCCTTTTCAAGGCATTGAAAATGAAACAGAACGAAAAGGAAAAGTCAAACTTCGGTTAAACTGATCACAATTCAGACATTTCTTACATTTTAACAAGCCAAGAATGTTGGGAACCATTGCCTCACTGATCATAGTGCACCCCAGCAACTGATATGACAGACACATTACTCATCATGTATCTGTTTTTTGTTATTCGACAAGTGCACAGCCATAAAAATGAAACTTGATTAACTCACAATCTAACACTAGTTTCCAGTAACAGTCAGTTCCCTCTGTGTAACTGACCATGAACAAAAGAAAAACTGGAAGCCGCTCGAATACAAAAAGGAAACATTTTAATTGCTCAGATAGAGCACCAGCAAAAGACGCTTTAAAGGCATAGAAGACAAAAATGACTTAATATGCAGTCTGCACTAATGATGTGTTTTTTTCAAGGGAACAACATATCCTTTTTCTTTGAGCTCTTCCTCAGGCAGGTGCTGCCTGACAAATAAATCCACAACAGAAAACAAGAGGATGTGTTTTCTGTTTGCATACACAATAAAGAAAAAGTGAGTTTCTGCATTTGCCTTAATGGGAAGTCTCCTTATATAATGTCAGCCTTGCACTTCTTTCACGCTGTTTGCTTTCCATCTTTTCTGTCTATACGGGAATAAAACTGTGTCTTCAGTGTTGCACCAAAAATGGCAGGGAGAAGAAAAAGAAGCAGGGAAGAAAACCAACACCAGGACCTGTAAAGGGAACCAACAAATCTACCCCCAAAAGACCTTGTAGCTTCTTTTTAAAAATGTTCCAAGAATTAGTCAAGCCTGTCCAGAGCGATTTGAGAGTTGGACTTTGTCACAGTGTCAGGTAAACTTAGTGGCATGTATTCCTCGTGCCATAGCTTGAACCACGGTAGAAATGTGGGAGCATGCTCACTGATGTGTCATTTACTTGTCTTAGCTTACAAGCTCACCTTCATCTCTTCTTTTCTTAGCACAATGGTGCATTTTACAACACACCTCTCTCGACTCTTTACATCTCTCCGCTTCGGCCTCTCTCTTTCTCTCACTCCTCTTTCATCTCATCTCCCCATTTCTTGCTCCAGCTACAAAGACTGCCTTCTGGCTAATAAAATTTGACAAGCATAGCTAACCTTTTTTCTCCACAGGTCAGCCTCTAGCATAGCTCTAATCAAATGTGACGCCCATCATGGCACACACCTGCCATTGAAGGCGTAATGAAAATGTCCGACAGTAAATTAGGGAGACAGTGCTGGGAGTCCACTGTTGAGAACCTTGACAGGAAGAGAAGTGAGGCGATGGGGGGGGGGGGGGGGCACTAACATGTCTCAGTTGCCAAAACTATGCAAAGGCACGCAGTCCATGCATGGACACAGAGGCACGCACACTTACTTTAAAAAACATTTGAATAAAGCTATATTAGCATCAAGGATTTCACAGGCACACACCATATCCCTCATGAATAATGAGCACATTTCTTCCTCAGCATCATTAAAACAGCGTAATGTAAAAGATGAAAGAAACAGATATGTTGTTCCCTTGGAAACAATGGAAGTTTTGCATGCCAGAGCTTTCAAGGACTGCTTAATAGGAGCATAAGGTACTCTGAAATTGGAGAAGTATATATACATGTATGTATGCACACACACACACACACACACACACACAGTAAATAAGCTTACACCTACGACTTTTGTGCAGTGGTGTAAAACTCACCGGACCACACACGCAGCATCGTTGCTAGGTTACACTGGGCATCCTCACAGAAATATTACACGTGGTGGGTGGCTGTGCGCGCAGCTATTTCTGACCGTGTGTGTATATCTGTGTGCGTCTGTGTGAATGAAAGGCGCGGGGAGGGGGGGTTCCCAACCTCATGGCTAGCTGTGTGTGTTTTAACAGATGCACCGACTCTGTGAATGAGTGCTCTCGTCCAAGCCGCGGGTGGTGCAGCGCCAATGGAAATAGCCTGCCGATGAGGGAGTGTGATGTGAATGGGCGTGACCGTGGAATACGTGTGTGAGGTCATCCGACATGGCCACCTACAGTTTTTAAAGGAAAGTTCAAGTTTATTACTACTTGGAGCTGGTTTTCATAGTTTAGGGCTTTCACTTGAATTAGTTATAACACTGTGCTAATCAACAAGCAGTGACACAAAACAGGTTGTAAACAAGCAAACAGTTTAGTCAGATTATCTAAAATACTCCAGGGCCGGTCTATAAACTGTGATGAATGTTTACAACATACAGTTTGGGTAATATTTGAATGCTCACCTTCGTTTTCTCTTCCAAATAGGTTTGTGGACAAGCTGATCTCAACTTAATAACACAGTGTTATCATAACCAGTAGAAAGTATGGTAAAATCTAAGAAAATAAGACCAGATTTGTAATATAATTGGAATTATTCCAAGTCCACAACTAGCATATTGTCACCAAGCAACAAAAACAGATCAATATTGTTGTTCTTGTGTTATTCTTTTCTTAAATTCAATGAAAAGACCCAAACCAACAATGTGTTCTTCCCTGTCTGAAGAAGTAAATCTTTAACAAATGGTCACAAATATGTCCTTCCACCTTTATCTGTCATATAAATGACTTTAGAAAGAAAACAATGGAGAGAGAACAAGCTATCTCAGGCTTTGTCTCCACAGCCAGTACTTGTTAGTGGAATCAATTAATATCTGGTTTTGGTCTTTTGATGGGATTCGTTGACAGTGAGATAAGATTTTAATTACTGATTCATATTATAATGTTATATACAATTTAGTTGAATTATTTCTGTATAAACCAACATGTGCAGTATGACCGCCCTCTGACAACATTATTAGACATTTATTTCTGTCTTCTTTTGTCTCTGGAGACTCCCTCACATACAGCTTTAACAAGCCAAAGAAGGCTCCTCATCCATCATGCTAATGCTAAAGACTACCTAATATACATTATGAGCAAAACAGGGGAGGGCGAACGGACAAGTGACACCCCAATAGTGTAAGAGAGACACAGAGACAGAGAGAAAGTGAGGGAGAAAGGGAGAAGAGGGAGAAAACAGGCTGGTAATGAAGTACCCACCACTAGTGGATGAGAGCTAAAGTGGTCTAACAGATCTGTCAGGCTGTTAGACTGTGGCTAATTATCCCTCCTCCTCTTTTGTCTGCATCCTCTGCTCTGTCACTTCTTCCCTCTCGAATTTACTCTGCCTATCTAACACGTTTTCTCTCTCTCCAGTTGGCTCTGTCCGTCTTCCCTCTTTCTCTGCATTCTTTTCCTGCTTTCCCTTTTTCTGTCTGTCCCTCCGTCTGTCACTTCTTTCCATCCCCATCTGTCTCCTTTCCATGTCCAATCTCTCTCTCTCTCTCTCTCTTTCTCTCTCTGTTCCCTCTCTTTTTCTGGATGAGATTGGGTGTCTGGGGCTTAGTTTTTGATTTGCAAGTCAATAGTAATTTCTGTCAGACAGTTTAAGTTGAGGGAAGTTTTAATGTGGCCTGTATTATTTCATACGGGAAATGATAAATTTGCATTAGAATCCTCTCTAGATTTCCTCCTTTTTCCTCTTTCACACACAAATTTGGCTGCAAGTTAAACTCAAAAACTTCAGCAGTAATAATATATAATATGGAAAGAATGACAACACTGATAAGCAGTGCACTTCTGCAAGCATTAAGCTTTCTCTTACGCTGAAACCGGTGGCTCTGACACTTATACTCATTCTACTCACCTTCAAGGACATTTGCTTATTATGTTACCTAAAATTGCCTCTAAATACTTCACAATTCCTTCTTTGCACACACACAATCCTTCAAAAAATGTTATGTTTTTGGAGAATAAAACGCCGTATAGTGTTTCAACCAGACGGGCAAGTGAAAGGGCAGACAAAGATAGCTCTGAGCAACAAAACAGTTTGAAATGTAAATACTACATGATACATTACAATGCATGAATTATACTGTTTATCTATGTTAAAACAGCCCTTATTGAAAGAAAGAAGAAACCATCAATATAACAGGTGATTCCAAACTTTTGTGCAGATATAGGTCTATTCATGTCATATTATATGAGAAATAATATGTTATATGTTCAGCATAGGTATAATTTTGAAGGGCATGTGGGAAAAATTCAATTTAAAATTCAACAATTCATAGCTTTCAGGGTGTTCACATCCGCAGTAGGTCAACAGTGCAGAATCACGCAGCAAGGCAATGATGTCACACATATAGACAAGGTAACACCAATACCAATTGTGCCCTGATAAGGGGTTTGCAATCTGCAACTAAACCGCTAGAAGCCACTAAATCCTCCACACTGTTCCTTTAAATTAAAGCTGAGAGTTAGCACTTCCTACCCTCATAGTCATTCTTTCACTGCAAAACCAGTGTGTACAGAGCAAACACAACAAAAATTTGTCCCTGCCCTCGCCCCTTTTAACATCGCTGCATATGCATTCATTCTTATTGCTCATCGTATGGCATCCATGAACACCTCAGACCGCGGCGAGTAATTTCAGTCGGATTCATTTTGCATTCATATGTGTATCGAGAGTCAGCCACCGGTGATTGCCTCTGCCTGAAACACATTATAGTGCCAAACGTGAGCAGACAAGGACGTGTGTGTGTGTGTGTGTGTGTGCATGTCAGTAGGGGTGTGGGTGAGAGAATGAGACGCAGGGAGAGAGGATGTACTATTTGTAGAGCATAAAGCATAGAGTGGGACTCCTAGCTGAGCCCATAGCGAATTCTTAAAAAGGAAGGCAAAACATGCTTGGCAGTAAAACTGACCTCAAACTAACTTTTTGTGCAGGTCACTTCCCAGTTCTGCTATGAATATTATGAAAAAATTTAATTATCAAGTAGAAATGATCACCGCGCTTTCAGAGATTTTAAAGATTTACAAAGGTCAAAGTGATCGCAAACAAAACAGAAGAGTTACATAAATCATGCATGGCATTATTGTATAAGTGTGTGTGGGGGTGTGTGTGTGTGTGTAAATATGAGAGTGTAACTACAGTGTAAGAACGCGCTCATGTTTTATGCATCCTCCGGCTTGGCAGACCATGAATGTAGAGATGTGCAAATACTCCCTCACTCATGCTGGTCAAGCCGCGGTCTGTGACCTTGTGTGCGCACACCTACACGCACGCAACCTACCCACAACTGCAGAAGTGCTACATACACATTGAAAAAAACAAACACATATGTATCATTAGAATACTTAAACCTAAGAGAGAGCCAGCAGAAGTCAGGTTCTTGTAAGTATATATATATATATATATATGATCGAGCCCCTCCCTTCCCTCTCACCTGTCTGCCGGTGTTTGATGCTGGTTCTGCAGAGCAGGCGGGGGTCTGTGCTTGTTGACCTTGGCGTAGAGCCCGTCCAGCTCCTCGGAGTAGGCCTGAGGCAGGTTAGGACCCCCTATAAGCGCTGCAGGGGAGGGAGTTCGACTGATGTACGACGGTGGCGACGGCTGCTGCTGCTGGCGGAAGTTGTTGATGCGGGCGTAGTTGGGGTCGCTGTCGTCGTCGTCCATGTCGGGGAGGGAGGCTGGGGTGACGTGGCCGGAGCGGGTATCGCCGTAGCGCGGATCGTAGCTGTGAGACGGGAGGGGAGGAGGCAGTTAGACACGGGGACAATACAATCGTCATCTGTTCTATGATTGTGGCGGTATGATAGACAGCTGTTTTGGGAAGGGCCAGGAGGGCGCCTGTTGCTGCATGAGGATGATTCACAACTTGTCAGGTAAGGTGACAATCACAGCACTTTAATACACCCGCAAACACTCTTCTACGATTGTGTGAACTTTCTGGCTGTAAATCTCTCTCGTTTGACACTCTAAACTGTGAAAAACCAACACAGAGGCGTGTTCCGCCCACGTCTGGTTCATACCCGTCTCTGTTGTCAGGAATCCTGTCCAGTTCTTCTTCACTTAAAGCCTCCAGTTTGCTTTTGGAGGCTTTGGCAGCATCTTTGCTCTTGTCATCTTTCTTCTTACCAAACCTGGACAAAAAGAAGGCACACAAAGGCATAAAGGTGAGTTTTAAATGACCTGAATGATTCTGTGATAATGGAAACGCATTGTGTTTTCTGCAACTTCCTGTTCATCTTTATCATTTTAAAACAGCAGGTAAATGAACCTGCAGGCTGCCAAACGCACTTTCATTTTGGAGGGAAGGTTGATGTGCTCTAATAGGATCTTTTTGGAGACTTTTATGATGAAACAATAAACCGCTCGGGCAACAGAGCTGGCACGAGTTGATGAAAGAGGCTCTTTAACTTGCACAACACGCAAAACGCCACACACACGCACTCCACCTTGCATCACGTTTCCAAATGTTGACACACACACATGCGCGCTGCTAGGCAAACTCATTCCTACTCCTGTGCGTTCATTAGTGGCTTCGCCTGGGAAAAGACTGCTTAATGATAGATATGGTTATAATGTCACAGCAGGCACTGGCAATCCACAGCGTGAGTATGTGTGTGTGTGTGTGTGTGTGGGCACATGGAAAGGGGGTACAGTTGTCACGCAGCATATGGAGCATGAATATTTCAGCATTTTGTCCAATAAAATAGCTCTTATACCACGGTGTGTTGTGTTTTTCTTATCAACTTTGCCATTACGACCGTCATCATCATTATCATTCTGTCGTTTTACAGGAAAAATGTACTTGTCACTTCTGTTTCAAATTATAATGAAGCTCTACTTCGCACTTTCAAGAAATTAACCCATCCTTTTCTCTTAAATATTTCATATTCTTTTATCTCTCCTTCACATCGTCTTTCTCACCATGCCCACCACTCTCTCTCTCTCTCTCTCGCCTACCTACTTCTTTTATTCTCCTCTCGCCCTCTCCTTTCCTCTGCGCTCCTGCTGAGCCAATCTAATGTCTGTGTTTATCTCATTAACAGCGAAGGCACTTCTCATTACTGCTACAGGCGGATACGTGGCCTGAATGGTAACCCTGCTGGCCCCGGCCGAGAGCGTGCGCGCGGCAACGGAAGGCGCGGCGAAACCTGGACAGGGATGCCACGGCGGCCTGGCACCATCCTGCAGAGCAATTACTGTTGTTTTTTAGCTAATCTAACCCACTTCAGTTATACGCGTGTGTATTAACGTTGCCAACAGCTTATATATTCACATTGCTTGCTTTTTGCTGTGGAGATGGCACGGAGAGGTGAACAATCAAAGCATCTTCTATACAGTCCCTTTATGTTTGTATGTCCTGTGTTTAGTCTCTGTGGTCCCATTCAAGCAGTTCTATATACTAAGGAATTTTACTAAAAGCTCCTGAGCATTCATGGTCCACATAAACAGTTTTTTCTACAGTGCTGACTTCAGTGCCGATGTTCTGATCATTTAGAGGGGCGCTACAGGGAATTAATATTGCTGTTCCAAACGAGTTCAAAATCTTAGTAGAAGAACTTTAAGTCCCCCGCGTGGATCAAACTCCAAAAACATGATGCCACACTTCAACAACTCGATGTGTGTGGGTGTGTACAGACAAATTAATTACATGTTTATTATTCTTATTAGTAGAAAGAGTCACCTCACCTAACTCCAGCTCCACTCGTCTTTAACCTGAGCTCAGTAAGTAAGTGCCCATGAGGTCAAAATAGATTTTTGTGTTGTTATTGCGTATGTCTACGCCAGTATTCAGCCCAACAATAACAAAGTAAGTCATTTTTTAGGTATTTTTTGGTGTTCTTAATAGTATTTAAGCTAATAGCGCTACCTGCATAACACAAACTCAGCACTGCTGGCTACTGAAAACGCAGATTAGTATCCACAACAAGTGCTCCCCTAGTTGCCTGTTTTTACATAAATATAAGGAAGCAAATAGCGCTCTGTTTCATGGGAACTTTAATCCCAAACAGAAATAACCCTCATCGTCACCGGGGAGGACTTGACACAGCTCCTCTAGACCTCCGCAAGACACTACTGGTGGGGTGTGGAACCCATTACAGTTTCACGCTGATCTTTGAGCCATTTTAGGAAGTTTAAATCTGTCGTGTGCAACATCCCCACTTTATCTTTATTTTTCCTTCAGGTGATGTCACCGGTGCTAAGCCCTTGCTGTAATGTCTTTCCACCTGACTTCCTAGAGATCACTTGCCAC